GAGTTCCGTCGTGCAGGCGTCGCTGGCCGTCCCTTTCATTGCCTCGTGCTGCTCGCGCCCTGTGTCGCACGGCTGCGGGGCGGTGCCCCGCGGCGACCGTTGCTCGGGGGGGGGCGTTGGGCAACCAGCCAGTCTCGCGGCGTGTGTGGCGCCTGCGGCAGGTTCGGGGGTCTTTCCTGCGCCTTGCGTGGCGGTGCTGGTCACGCAGCCGGCCCTGGGGCTCGGGCTTTGGAGTTCCGCCGCGCAGGCGCCGCTGGCCGCCCTTTCCGCTGCTCTGTGGCGTCCTCGCCCTCTGTCGCACGGCCGCGGGGCGATGCCTCCCCCGCGGTGACCTTTGCTCAGGGGGCCGCCAACCTTTCTCTCAGGTGGAGCGGCAGGCTTGATGGATGCCTTGCCTCTCCGACCAGCGCTAGTCCACCGGCCGAGTCTCGCGGCGTGTCGGGCGCCCGCGGCAGGTTCGACCTGTTGTCAGCTGTGCCCTGCTCGGCGGTGCTGGTTACGCAGCCAGCCCTGGAATTCGGGCCTTGGGGTTCCGTCGTTCAGGCGCCGCTGGCCGTCCTTTTCATTGCCCGTTGGTGTCCTCGCCCCCTGTCGCACGGCCGCGGGGCGATGTCCCCCCTGCGGTGGCAGCTGCTCAGGTGGCCGCCAACCTTACTGTGCAGGTTGCGCGGCAGGCGCGGGGGGGGATGTGCCCTCCCCGACCGTGTGCCCTGCAGCGGCGCTGGATAGTTTTTCTCTTGCTCCGGCCACGGGGCGGTCGCCCGTCGTGTGGCCAGTGCCTCCTAGCCCATGGGGCTGCTGGAGGTACTCTTTCGACCAGTGAGGTCTCCCTCGCTTCCAGCAGTGGTTTCCCAGCCACCACTGCTGTGTTCTTTTCACCAAGGCTGCGCGGGCCTTGAGCTCGAACAAAATGCGACGAAAAATCATATTACTATTAATGTTTACACTACTACTACTACTACTACTACTACAACTACTACTACTACTACTACTACTACTATTACTACTACTACTACTACCACTGCTACTACTACTACTACTACCACTACTACTACTACTACTACTACTACTACTACTACTACTACTACTACTGCTACTGCTACTGCTACTGCCTCTGCTACTGCTCTACTACTACTACTTACTACTACTACTACTACTACGACTACTCTACGACTACTACTACGACTACTACGACTACTACTACGACTACTCTACTACCTACTATTACTACTACTACTAACTACCTACTACTACTTATCCTAGGAGCTACTACGACTAATAATACTACTACTACTACGACTACTACTACTACTCCTGCTGCTGCTGCGAACGACGACGACGGACGACTACGACGACGACGACGACGACGACGACGACGACGACGACGACGACGACGACGACGACGACGACGACGACGACTACTACTACTACTACTACTACTAGTACTACGACTACTACTACAACTACTACTACCACTACGACGACGACGACGACTATTATTATTACTACTACGACTACTACTACTACTACCACCACTACTACTACTACTACTACTACTACTACTACTACGACTACTACTACTACTACTACTACTATTTCTACTACTACTACTACTACTACGACTACTACTACTACTACTACGACTACTACTGCTGCTGCTGCTACTACTACTACTACTACTACTAGTCGTACTACTACTACTACTACTACTACTACTACGACTACGACTACGACTACGACTACGACTACTACTACTACTGCTGCTGCTACTACCACTACTACAACTTTTACTTCTACTACCACTTCTACTTCTTCTACTACTACTACTGCCACTACGAGTACTAATACTACGAATAAGACTCGTATTAATCAACAGACTGCGAATACTTCTGAGATTATAGATGCGAAGAATATAGTCATACTAACACTATTAAGACTAATACTACTGGGAAGAAGAAATGAAAGAGGGGGAGGAGGTGGAAGAGGAGGCGAGTTCACTCCTAGATGATGATGGTGATCACGATGGTAATGGTGACATTGACAGAGGAGGTCAGGAAAGATGAGGATGAGGAGTAGGAGGGGGAGGAGGAGGAGGAGGAGGAGGAGGAGGAGGAGGAGGAGGAGGAGGAGGAGGAGGAGGAGGAGGAGGAGGAGGAGGAGGAGGAGGAGGAGGAGGAGGAGGGGGGGGCGGAGGAGGAGAGGAAGAGGAGGAGGAGGATGAGGAGGAGAGGAGGACAAGTTAGGTGCGCTCGCGTCATTTCTGACATCCTCCCCGTCCCCCCCCCATCCCTTACCATGGCGCATATCCCCTCTCTACTCGCACAGTCGGATGTCAAGCAAGGCGATGATCCCGAAAGGGTACGCGATGCATTGTAGAATGCGGCATGGCATGGCGTAGAAGAGCACCGCGAAGCGTAGTATCAACCTGGCATTGCACTGCATGCCGTGGCATGGCACGGGAAATGACGCCAGCGCTGCAGCGGGAACGCGAGTCGAAACGAGCGGAAGCGCGGAAATGAGGCCAGCGCTGCAGCGGGAGCGCGATTCGGAACGAGCGGAAACACGGAAATGAGGCCAGCGCTGCAGCGGGAGCACGATTCGGAACGAGCGGGGCCCGAAAATGAGGCCGGCGCCTCAGCGAGAGCAGCATTTTGGGAACAAATGCAGGCGAAAACCTAACTCCGGGGAAAGCTCTCCGGCGCCAGAAACAGAAATTCAGCAATTTCAAAACGAAAAAATTGCATAGGAATGGCCTTTTTTCGGCGCCGCTTCGGAACCCGATTTTCCGGCGCCGGCCGGAACCGGCTCCGGACCCGGCCCGGGCGCCAGCCTGGGCGCTGGCTCGGGCGTCCGGCCCGGGCGCCGGCTCGGGCGCCGGCCTGGGCGTCGGAATCGGCCCGGGAGGCCTCCCGGGCGCCGGAAGAAGAAATTCAACATTTTCAATCGAAAAATGTATACTAGAATTGCCTTTTTTCGGCGCCTCGGAACTCGATTTTCTGGCGCCGGCCGGAACCGGCTCCGGACCCGGCCCAGGCGCTGGCCCGGGCGCCGGCTCGGGCGTGCAGCCCGGGCGCCGGCGGAAATGAGGCCAGCGTTGCAGCGGGAACGCGATTCGGAACGAGCGGGGCCCGAAAATGAGGCCGGCGCCTCAGCGAGAACAGCATTTTGGAAACAATTGCAGGCGAAAACCCAGCTCCGGGGAAATTTGTGTGTAAGAAACAGTACGCGGGGGGGGGGCGAATATTCCCAAGACGTCATCAGGGGGAAAGGGAGAGTAGTATTCATATTGAGTAATCGTGGAAGGAGGAGGAAGGAGGAGGAGGGGAGGAGGAGGAGGAGGGAGGAGGAGGAGGAGGAGGAGGAGGAGAGGATGAGGAGGAGGAGGAGGAGGAGGAGGAGGAGGAGGAGGAGGAGGAGGAGGAGGAAGAAGAGGAAGAGGAGGAAGAAGAGGAAGAAGAGGAATAAGAGGAAGAAGAAGAAAAAGAATAATAAGAAGAATAATAATAATACTACGAAGAAGAAGAAGACGAAGAATAAGAAGAAAAATAATAAGAAAAATAATAAGAATAATAATAATAATACTAATAATAATACTAAGAAGAAGACGAAGAAGAAGCAGAAGCAGAAGCAGAAGAAGAAGAATAATAAGCAGAAGCAGAAGAATAAGCATAAGAAGAAAAATAATAATAATAAGAATAAGAAGAAGAATAATAAGACGAAGAAGAATAATAATAAGAATAATAATAAGAAGAAGACGACGAATAATAATAAGAATAATAATAATAATACGAATACTAAGAATAATAAGAATAAGAAGAAGAAGACGAATAAGAAGAAGAAGAAGAAGAATAAGAAGACGAATAATAAGAATAATAATAAGAAAAAGACGAATAATAATAAGAATAAGAAGCATAATAAGAAGAAAAAGAATAATAATAAGAATAATAAGAAGAAGAAACAGACTAATAATAAGAAGAATAATAAGAATAATAAGAAGACGAAGACGAATAAGAAGACGACGAAGAAGAATAATAATAATAAGAAGAATAATAATAAGAAGAAGAATAATAATAATACTAATAATAAGAATAATAATAATAATAAGAATAATAATAATAATAAGAATAAGAATAATAATAATAATTATTATAATAATAAGAATAACAATAAGAATAATAATAAGAATAAGACGAATAATACTAATAAGCAGAAGCAGAAGACGCATACGAATAATAATAATAAGAAGAATAATAAGAATAATAATAAGAATAATAATAAGAATAATAAGAAGACGAATAATAATAAGAATAAGATGACAAAGAAAAATAATAATAATAAGAATACTAAGAATAATAATAAGAATAATAAGAATAATGATAAGAAGAATAATAAGAAGAATAATAATAAGAAGAATACTAATAAGAATAAGAAGAATAATAAGAATAATAATAATAATAAGAATACTAAGAATAATAATAAGCAGAAGAATAATAATAAGAAGAAGAAGAATAATAATAAGAGGAGGAGGAGGAGGAGGAGGCGTTGGAAGTGGTGGAGGAGGAGGAGGAGGAGGAGGAGGAGGAGGAGGAGGAGGAGGAGGAGGAGGAGAGAGGAGGAGGAGAGGAGGAGGAGAGGAGGAGGAGGAGGAGGAGGAGAGGGAGGAGGAGGAGGAGAGGAGGAGGAGGGAAGGAGGAGGAGGCGGAGGCGGGAGGCGGAGGCGGAGGCGGAGGCGGAGGCGGAGGCGGAGCCGGCGGCGTAGGCGGAGGCGGAGGTGGAGGCGGAGGCGGAGGCGGAGGCGGAGGCGGAGGCGGAGAAGGAGGAGGAGGAGGAGGAGGAGGAGGAGGAGGAGGAGGAGGAGCAGGAGGAGGATGGAGGATGGAGCATGAGGATGGAGCGAGGACGACGGAGGGAGGATGGCGGATGGAGGAGGAGGGAGGAGGGAGGAGGAGAGAGGATGGAGGATGGAGGAGGAATAATAGTTTCCAACCTCTCCCAGACAGGAGAAGGGCCTGCTTGCACCAGAGCACGCCGCCGCGCCCACGCATGGGAGCCTCCAGGCGCTGGTGCAGCGCGCCGCCGCGCTCGCGAGGCGCCCCATTCGGGCGCCCGAAGGGCGCCCAGAGGCGGACGGCTCTGTCGCCGTCCCGCTTCGGATTCCCTTTTTTGACGGCGCGCCCAGGGGCAGGTTCGAGGTTCGAGGTGTTCGGGCGTGTTCGTCGGCGGTTCTTGGATATTTTCCAGTCTCGGGATGCGGCTTTACTTGGCGGCGCGCCCAGGGGGCAGGCTCGAGATTTGAAGCTTGCGGATTTCGGACGTGTTCGTTGGTTCTTGGCCGTTGTCCCGCCTCGGGATGCACTCCAGCAGATGCGCCTCGGCAAGGGCGTTTCAGAGGAGCCCTGATCGCTCCGAACGGCCGCTCGAAGCCCGAATGATGACCGAACTCATGGCGCCAAGGATCATTCGGCGGCGCGTTCGAAGCCCCAGTCCGCCTTTCCGCTCTGACAGACAGAGCGGACAGTCCTGACTCGAGGCCCCAAGGCACGCACTTGCTCTGGGGGGGGGGGGAAGTGAGAGGGGGCAGGCCTTCTGATACGGCGGCGGAGTTTCTCAGGCCTGCGGCCTTCTGAGGAGCATTCTGTTGCTACGGGGGAGGCCCAGAATGCTTCTCAGAAGGCCGGAGGCCTTGTGAGCCTTCTGAGAAGGCCCGCCCCCTCTGCCTTTCCCCTGGGCGCGCCGCCGACTCTTGCATAGGCATTACCGCTAGAGACTCTGAATGATTGGAGGGAGAGTTTCGCTGTTTTTCTGGTACAAGGGATGTTTCACGCTTCCGACGGAGCGCTCCTCAGCCAAATGTCTGCGACGGCATGCTTGCAACGGGATGGCGGCCGTCCCGTCCCGCTCGTTGTGTTCATAGGGGTTCCCTTGATTCGGGCTTCCCTTCTCCTTCTCTTCTTTCTTCATCTTCTGCTCCTCGTTCTCGATTTGCTCATCCTCCTCCTGTTCGGTTCGTGGGCCATTCTTCGTCGAGTTCCGACTATTCTCGATCTCTGCAGGTTTCTCTCCGCTTTTGGCCTCCTGGATCTGGTGCAGGACACAGGGTCTGTCAAAGACGGATCTGTGATTGAATTGTTGGTTACTGGGATGGTGTCGGGACCTTCGGGCTCGTCTTTGACGCTTCTGCCGCGCTGTCGCCGTCGCCGCAGTTTCGAGAATCGAGCTCGCCGAAGGTTTACGCTGGTCCCTCAAATCGGCATCTCGACGCCATTGGGCTGTGTGGGGTCCGTCTTGGGCCGCTGGGCCATTTTAGAATTGTTTCAGAAGTGGGGCTTGGAGGGGGGGGGGGATGAGTATGCAATAGGGGTGGTCGAGAAGAGTGGAGGAGGGTGTGAGGGGGAAATGAAGGATGGAGGGAGGGACGTTCCAGAAGGGAAATCAGGTAAGAGGGAACTTGGGATGCGGGATGAGGCAAGATGGAAGCAGGGATGGCAGATGTGGGACTAGGGGAAGAAGGCATGCGGAGTGACTGCGAGGAAGACAGATGGAGGAGAGCGGAGGGAACGCAGGCGAGGATGGGTGGAAGAGGGACGAAGGAGTCTATTCTGTGTGCGTGTGCAATTGGCGTGGGCAGTGAACACCCACGAGGGGGGACACGTAGGAGGAGAAGGAGGAGGAGGAGGAAATGGTGAGGATAATGTAGGAGAGAGGAGCGAAGCAACATCATTATGATAAGGACGAGGCGGATGGGGATCATAATGAGGCAGATGATGCAGAGGGAGGGCGGAAACGGGAGAGGAGGGGAAGCAAAGGCCCAGGGCTGTTCGTCCCGCGCAAATTCTACAAGGACCGCGCCCAAGTGGGGAAGTGTACTAGCGCGACGCTCTGCGTTGAGCCGTGTCACCCGTGGCGCCACTTCGCGGCGTAGAGCGCTCCACTTCGGTGGAAGGTAATACAGGTAGACATCCAGTCGCCTCTGCTTCCATGGCGCCCTCTGCGGCTGCTGCCGCAGTGGTCACTTCAGGTGCCCTCCACGTCGGCGGCGATCGCCTTTCCGGTAATTGCAATAGAGAATCACAGAGTGTTCGCGCACGCTCTTGCCCAGCCCGTCCGAAGCGTCCCTGTCGCGATAGTCCTTTCAACTGTGGCCCAGTGGTGTTGGTCCCGATTTGTATAGCAATTGCCACTTCTGTTGTCTCCGTTTTGGCGGCGTTCGTTTCCTCGGTTGGCTCTGCAGTAGAAGGCCCCGTCGGTTTCATTTCTGCGCCCTGCTCGTCTGAGTCTTCCTTTCTATAGGAGCCGCGTCGCTCGCGCCCCTTCTCGTCGCGAGTCGTCGCCCATCGCGTGACGACGCGACACGGTCTTTCCACCTCGGCGATTGTCCTGAAGTCGCTGCGCGCGGGAGGGAAGCTCTAGCCGTCGCCTACAACTGTGCCATTCTCGGTGATTCGCGCAGTTGTGTCCGCTCCTGCCGCGTTGTTTTCTCGATTTGAACCGCGCGGCGGGCACGGCACATGCTTCTAAGTCTAAGTCGCCGCCTTCACCAGCATGCCCCGTCGAAGTATTGGGGCTGTTTTTTCTTGCATTCGTGGCAGTCCTTTCGTCAGGGGCACAGGGTCGTGCAGTGCAGTATGTTTTACCTCGTCAACCGTCGCCGATCAGGTTGTAGCCTTTGGCGGCGTCCACAACGCCACGCGATCCGTTCAGTTTTGACGCGCGTCGTCTCGGCGCACGGTTTTCTCCGCGGTTGATCACGTTTGTTGTTTTGCTCGCCTTTCTGTCCGCGGTAAGCATTTTCGGTTGGCATCCCAGGTAAAGCCCCCGTCGTAGCCAGTCACCTCCGTGCCCCGCTCGTCAGGAACAGTCTCCGCGCTGGTCGTCACTCCAATCGTTTACATCATGGTGATTGTCGCCTCTCCATACAAGAACACGGCGGGCAGCTGCGGTCATTGCGGTGGCGGTGACGGCCTCCCCGTTTTTCTTGGCCATGTAGGTGCTGGGCCAGAACACGATTTGCAGCTCCAGTTCTCCTCGCCGCCTCCTGGCGCGTCGCGGTAGCCGTTTCGACGGGCCCCGTCCGTCCCAAGGCCCGAGCTTCAGTTCCATGGCCGCGGGCCATGTTCACGGTATCATCATGCCGCCACCTCGCGAGATACGTATCCGGTTGCCGCCGCGCCGGCGGACACAGGCTGAGGCAGATCCGCCTGCGGAGGCTGCCCGCCCCGGTCGTGCGTTGCCACGGGGGCCGTGCGGTCCCGTCTACGCCACCGCATTCCCTCACAGGAGATGGCGCCGGCTGAGGCTCTGCCGCTGAAGGCAGGGCACGGCCGCCCCGCCCCTGGTGACAGGAGGCCAGGCACAAGTCGCAACCTCAGAACACATTCTCTCCTCACTCCTCAACCTCTCGCCTTCCATCTTGGAGGATATGGAGGCTTACACGCCGCGCATTGCAGTATCAGTCCGAGGCTTGCCATCGCGGACAGAGTCCACGCTGGCAAAGGGTTCGCTCATTGGCCAGGCTGGCTGCTTGGCACCAAGCGATGATAATCGTTCTCAGGATCGATGATAATCGTGCTCAGGAGCGAGGAAATATGAGGAGGCCTTTCCACCTAACTTCTCCCTCACTCCTTCCACCTTTAAGTTGCCAGCCAGCTGCTGGGGCAATCCTGGGGCACCTTGCCAAATCGACCCTCCGCCCAGCGCCGTTGTCGTTCTCAGTTGAACGGCGGTCGTGGAGGAGTCAGACGGTCTTGGCGGAAGGACCTTTTTCTGCGGGGCTACGGATGTAAAGCACCCTGAGGAGCCATCTGAATGGTTGTTTTCTGCGGGGCTGCGGAAGTAAGCATCCAGGCGAAACCGTGTGGAAAGGCGTTTTCTGCGGTGCCGCGGATGTGAAGCGCCCTGGCGGTGCCGACTGGATGGTTCTTGTTTGAGGGGCTGCGGAAGTAGAACATCCAGGCGAAGCCGTGTGCAACGGCGTTTTCTGCGGGGCTGCGGATGTAAAAAAAGCTAGCGGGGCCGGCAGGATGGTTGTTTTCCGCGGGGTTGCGGAAGTAAAGTATCCAGGCGAAGCCGTGTGGAAGGTTGTTTTCTGCGGGGCTGCGGATGTAAAGCATCCAGGCTAAGCCAGCCGGACACTTGTTTCTTCTGGCTGCTGGCCGCGACACATTCTAGACGCTTCGCGTATCCCCACCAGACCTTCTAGGCGCGGCCTGCCGCGCGGCTGTGGGCTCTGGCGGTTTCGCCTGTCCATAGATTGCGTCACTCCCTGGATTCTTCACCTTTCTACGGCCTTCAGCCGTGCCCCTGGAACGAAGTGACTGTGAGGGACGCGTTTTGGGTATACGACGGTCCCGTCCCTCGGGTGCTACCTCACGTGCGTATGAGTGGCGCTGAGTCATTTTGGTGGTGCACTCTCAAGCGACCACGTGTTTCTACCGTGTGGCTTCGTGCACTTTGCTGTGCTCTGACCAGATCGCTGGTCCATGGGCTCAGGCGCATCTCAGTTGTGGAAGGTTCTCCCGCTGGCGACTTTGATTCCACTCCCTGGATGCGTGTTCTGACGTCGCGACGGTTCGCTGGCGCCGTCAGAGATTTTCCCCGCTGGACTACGTCACCAGTCAGTCTGTCCCTACCCGTCAGACTCCTTGGATAGACGTCCCGCTCGGAATCGTTCCCCACCCGTTCGTTCTCGTTCTGCCGGGAACGCTTTGCGCGCCATTTTGGCTGCGCTCGGCTTTCCTCGGTGGCTGTACTCAGACTCCCTGGATGTGCCGTTGCATGTTCCTTTCAGGGGCTGCCCTGCAGACTCCCTGGATCTGCACGCTCTTTGGCTCAGACGCCCTGGGTCGCTGCTGCTTGCCGCCTGACCGCGGCCCCGCGCGCGCCCGCCCCCTTGTCGCGGCCGCAACCCGACCGTGACCGCCTGCCGCTGGCGCTTCCGCCTGCGGCTGTAAAAAAAATCCCCACCAAGTGCGTCTGCTAGTGAATGTAGAGCATTTTGTTCAGTGCATGTGCACCGCACGCTCTGTGTGCAACTAGCTTTGTGCCGCCCGCCCCGGACATTGCCTGTTGCCGCCAGACCGTTGTCGAGCG